TTTTAGCTTGGCTTTATAATAGTAGAGATGTTCCATTGCCAAAAGATAATTTGCACTCTTGCATTTTGTGTGTGGTTACATTGGAGTTCAGACAGGTTCGAACTGGGGGGAGGGGGAAGCCACCACCAATATCACATATTTTCTTTGCGATTATATTGGAGAGAATTATTAACCTAAAAATAATTACAACGTATTCGGTAACATGTGCAGTAATTCTAGAAAAACAAAGATGTCTTTCGGTACAATCTGTAGTTGGAGGCTGTGTACAATCGGTGTTGATAATGCGTTGGATATGTAATTTTGTTTATAAAAAAATCGGATTTTGTAAAGATATATTATTCCATCATCCATCATTGCATAATTCACAGAAGAATGAAACAATTCATGGTTGTTCCACTTGAAGAGGGGAAAATGTGAACAATGTTTAGATATCCAAGTGGAACATTAATAAAAAGGGAAAGATGTACCGTGTCCACTAAGATACGGAAAGATGAGAGGCTATGATGTTTTTCTATGTTAGGTTGGGATATATTGGCATGAGTGCTATTACCATGTCCGATAAACTTGTGAATATTGAGGATTTTTCTAGTACTCAAGGATATTCGACTACGGTTGAATGAACAAGACTTACCTCCTTAAAAAAAAACAAATATTTGTGAAAACGTGAGGGAAAATCACAATTTTTTTGTTTAGCTTTTCATTGGGAATTTCCTCTTCAACATCTATTTTCTATCAACAATTCAATAGAAAAGATTGAAGATATAGGGATTGAGATAGGGATCACCATTTTGCTCGAGGCCCATGGGCCAAAGTGGGTCTGCCTGGCCTGGTCCATTGTTTAAGCTCAATTGGCTCAACCTGCTTTAAGATTGGGTAGGGTTTGGGTCAAGATTGGCCTAGCCCAGTTAAGCATGTCTAGGACCGGCCCGTGCTCATAAATATAACAATAAAGTTAACCCACTATTACATTTTCCACCAATGAGAGCAACTTCAAAGCATTGAAGTTACTGTTGGGCGCGATACGGGATGACAAAGGATGAAGGACTTCCCAGTGTCAATCCCGGAAAGGATAATCGGGACGGGACGGGACGAGATGATAAGGATGTTTCTCAGGACACGTCTAAGCCATACCAAAACCAAAAAAGACCTGCCATTTTTCCTATATAATACATTGAATTTTAGAAATCAAGCCTCATACAATCAAGATCTACGAAATTAATTACAAATCAAGAATCAAGCCTCATACAGTTAATTCAAGACTTGCCAAATGAATTACAATCAAGAATCAAGACTCAAACTCAAAGTAACTCAACAAACCTCAATGGTTGGAAATTAAATTACAAAAAAAAGTAACAAAAAACCAAAACATAATGGAAATCTCACAACCAAAGTTTAAAACACAAAGAAAAATTTTACATTAACAAAATAGTTTACAAAGAATAACAAATGAGCAAGATACTTGGTTACTTGGCATGTCCATTTCCCTTTGGACCTGAAGCTACTGTGTTTGTACTGGTGGAAGCTTAGTACTTGCGTATTCTATAGAGAATAAATCCACACAATCATAAAAAATGCTTAGAAAAAAGCCTAATCAAATTAAAAACAAATGCAACATTATAAAGTAATAACATACCTAATTCAACAGTCATAAAACTTATATTCTTCAGGAGTAGGTTCATCTTCTAAAATGGTGGAAATGTCATCTCCCTTCAAACAATTTTGCATACATATCAATGTCTCCACTTATCTAGGAGTTAATGAACTCCTAAATGCATCAATTACTCTTTTCCCAGTGCTAAAACAGCTCATTTGTGATCATTGAAACTTGAATGACAAGAATATCCCTTGCAGTTGCTGCCAACAAAGCGTACTTAGGACTATTGAGCTTCCACCACAACAAGATGTCAAAAAAAGACCCCTTGGTTGTTAGTTCCAAAGGATTTTGCAAATAGGAATCCACTTCATGTGCCACTACATCCTCCTTGCTCTCATCCACCACTTTTATCTAATCGTCCATTATATCATCAACATCTTGTGAATCTTAATTCAGATTATGTGGAGCAGAATTTACATTCCCACTTCTCGTGTGAATTCCATCATCAAATCTAGGTGCATACTCTTCACACATAGACATCATCAAACTTCTCTTTCCTAAACAGATGTGTCACATGCCTAAGCTTGAATCTAGGGTCCAAAATAATAGTAACAACCAGAATCACATATCTTCTGACAAGACCCGACCTAAATTCCACTTTGGAATCTCAGCCGAACCCTGTGCGTGTCCAACACCTAGCAGGTGTCGGGCACACTTGACCAAATTGCCCTTTTTAACTAAGACTCAAAATTCTTTTAAGGTTTGACTTCTGCCGAAAATTCGGCAGAGTCTCCCCTGTAATTCGCTCGTTTCCCAAATTTTTCACCTGTATAAAACACAATTCTATAATCCCAAATGTTCAGCATACAAGAATTTTAACCATCGTGCTTGGGATGACATAGGAATCATTTTAGGGCCCAAAGACCTGTCATAATGTGGCCCACACGCCGCAACAGGCGCAGACAGCGTGTGGGTGTCCAAAGCAATTTCGGCAATCGGAAAATCTCCAAACAGCCGGTCAAGACCTATACCTACATGATCAAAACAATGAATGGAGCAACTTTTGTTCTTCGACCATGGCCAAAAACTAACTGGAACTAGCCAGAATGAAGCTGAAACCGTGAGCCCTAAGTGGGTGTTTTGAACGATCTCTAAAACCTCCAAATTGATCTACAATACATACATAAATGGATAGAGCACGAAGAGTAGACAAAGTTTCATACATCACTTGACGAAAACGGTGGCCGGAGTCACCGAAAACGGTGTCGAAAACTTCGAAAATCGTCGACACTTCCAGTCGTTCCAGCAGCGAATCGTTGGGTGTTTTAGCTAGGAAATAGGCTAGGTTAGGCAAAGGATGAAGATACGAAGATTTTGGGACCGGTCTTGCCTGAACCGGTGGCCGGAGTTGGGAGAAATCGTCAGCCAAAGTGGCTGGCCTGTTATGCCTTAAGGAGAGGGAGAGTGTCGCAAGAGAGAAGAAGATAAATAGCACCTGGTTGCTACAGTAACAAATTAAAAAATTCCCACTACGTCCTTTTCGTTTCTAGACCTTTCCTCCTTTGTTACAACTTAGAATCGGCGTGCTGCATGTCTACGAACTCGTATCGTCGAGCTCTACGCAACGGTACCACCCAAATCCCCAAATTCTTTTCCGAACAAGAAGTCAACTTTTAAACCCATTAAAATATTCCCAAGGTAAAATTGTCATTTACTTGAATACTTTAATAATTAAATATTAATTTAGGATCGGGTTATTACATCTTCAAATTTGACAAAGTACTTGTTGTATTTTTTTTCTCATTTTGGATGCCGTATCAACCAACACTCTGTTTTTGAACCAGTGGCCATCTTGGTGACACAAAAAACTTATCAATCTCTTTTTCTATTGCTAAAATAGAATGGAAAGCTTTGTTGATAGTGGGGTGCAAAGATGCACTCACCTTTAGTGTGACCTCATAAAAACCCCTCAAGAACTTCACATAAATAGTAGCATTGTCCCAATTATCTTCACTTGGTGGTCCAAACCTAATATGGTTACTATTGCTCACAACCACACCATCCTCATCAACTTCATGTTCTCATTCCTTGAACTAAGCCAAGAAAGGGTTGTCATCATCCTCCCCCATTCTTACAAGAACTTTTTTATATTTGAAGGTTGCATCCAATATTATAAATGTTTAATTCCACCTTTTGGGGACATCCATGCAAACCATACCTTTGATGGATAGTCCCTTTGCGTCCACATAAGTTCTAAAAAACTCCAACCTTTGAGAAAAAGTCCTAACATACGTAACAGCATTTCTAATGGCCAAAATAGACTTAGAAAGCCTCTTCAAACCACTACCTACTATTAGGTTTGTGATGTGAGCAAAACATCGCACATGTAGGTACTTCCTTTGCAAAACATGTTCTACTTTATCCTTTTTATTCAACTTTGACCTAACCAAATTTATAGCCACTTTATTGGTAGATACATTATCCACAATTATCGCAATCACCTTTTCTATCCCTCACTGAAGCAAAAATTTTCAATGAGTTTCCCTATGGTTGCTCCTTGGTGATTGAAAATAACACAAAAGTTCAAAATTCACTTGTGCATTTTCCACTCACAATCAATAAAATGGGCAATTAGCACCATATAGTTACAGTTTTGGACAGTTGTTCAAGTGTCAGTAGTGAGGACCTAGTTGCCCTCAAATCTTTCTTCAACTTCAAATTATGCTCATCATACATTTTCAGAAATTGTCTCACTATTGTTTACTGCTAGGAATATTAAACAAAGGGTAAGCAACACTCCGAATTTCCTAGAGAGGCTATAGAGAAATGTCTTGTTTTTATAAGCTTGAGAGTGATGAGAGAGAGGTTGTAGAGTAAGAGGAAGTAAAAAGGTTGAGAGGGACAGTAGAGAAAGAAGAAGTGAAAAGACTATAGAGAACGAGTAACAAAAAAATAAAAATTTGCGAAAAGGGAGTTTTGGGTCCCGCATAAAATCTTTATAATAAAAATCATTTCAAAACGTGCAAGGCATGTTGTAGTAGTTAATCAAACTCGCAACGCATCTATGTATGTTGTAGAATAAGGGGGGGTGTATTCAATTAGGATTTTAAAAGATTATTTTGGGATAAATAAGTCTTGTGGTATTCAATTAAGACTTTTAAATAATCTAAACAAGTCTTATGGTATTCAATCAGGACTATTAGGATTTTTTAAAGAGGGTGTCCAAATCTAGTGCTATTCAATCAAGACTTTAAACAAGTAACAAAAAGTCTTTTGGTATTCAAAAACTTGCTAATTTCGAAGGATTTTTTTTAAATAGGGAATTGGTGTGACTTTTTAGTGGGAGGTATAAATACCAAACCCTATAAAAAATCCCACCCTAACCCATCAGACTTTTTACATTGGATTTTTTTTTGTCTGCTAGAGAAGACGAACAGCTCTTCGTGAAGATAAACAGCTCTTCAACAAGGTATTGCTTCCTTATCGTGATATGTCTTCTTGTGTTAATTGTCTGTGTCTATTGTTTCGATTTATGGTCTGTGCCTTTTTCGTGCTGTGCCTTTTTCGATTTTTAATGGTCTGTGTCTATTGTTTCGATTTATGGTCTGTGCCTTTTTCGTATTCATACCATCGGCTTGTACTTTTCTCTATTGTTTATATATGGTTTGTTGACTTCGTAACCATGCTGATTGTCTTGTACTTTTCTCTATTGTTTATATATGGTTTGTCTTGTACCATGCTGATAGGAATTGTTTATATATTGGTGTCGTCTTGAAGAAATTATTATTAAGTTTTGAATTGTATGGAGAGAGAGAACTGAAATCAAACCCAAAAAAGAAAACCTTCATGTTTGTATTGTATGGAGAGAGAGAGAACTGATTGGGTCTTGAAGCACGAGTTTTGCATTATTATTGTTGTTGGGTTTCATTAAGGAGATTTCCTTTTTCATTCAGCATTATTATTGTCTGTGGTAAATCAGTTTTCATTAACTAATAAATTTCTTACATATGTTGTAGTAGTAATTTAATGGGGGATTCACAACAAGGAAATAACAAAGGAAAGGGCAAAGAGAAAGAGAACTATGAATCTTGGACCATGGACGATACCAATGAGTTGTTGCATTCAATACCAAATTTGGATGACAATACTTGTTTCATGGCGGGTGAATTGCTTAGTAATAAAGCAAAGAAAGACTTGTTCTTGAAGATGTCATTAGAAGAGCGCTCATCTTGGATAAAATTCAAGTTAGGATGATTTTAGTATTTTGATCATATTGGGTTTTGTTGAACTATATTTTTGTTTGTGCTATTTTGCTTCTACTTTGGTTGAACTATTTCGTACTTTGGTTAAACTATTTGGGTACTTTGGTTGAACTATTTGGGTTATAATTTGGTTGAACCATTGTTATTGTAATTTGGTTGAACTATTGTTATTGTAATTTGGTTAAACTATTTTCACAGCTTTTACTTTTTTATTTGGTTAAACTATTTGGACAGCTTTTACTTTTTTACTTGGTTAAACTATTTTGATAGCAACTTCACATACATATTATATTCTTCTTTTTACTATTTTGCAGTCTCGTATATTTTTATATATACGAATAATGTCACAATCGAACATGTATGAAGGTAATGACATAGAGGAAGAAGAAATTGATGACGAAGATATGGATGATGAAGAAATAGATGAAGAATTTTATGAATCCATTTACAGTTCAGTGATGGCAATTTATTCAGTAATGCATGTGCTAAATCAGTTTCTGAATATGATGCGTGGTGAATATATTGAACGTCCATTAACTCGACGGCGAATTACTAGCTTTGGATATGACTATATACATCAAGCATTAAACGATGATCCTGCAATCTTTCGACAAGTATATAGAATGTATCCAGATGTATTCCGGAAGTTATGCTCAATTCTTAGAGAAAAAACACTTTTGGAGGATACAAGATTTATTTGTGTCGAAGAAATGCTTGCAGCGTTCCTACAAATAGTTGGCCAAAATACTCGATATTGTGTAATTCGTAATACATTTGGCCGATCACAATTCGCTGCTAGTGAAAATTTTCACAAGATTTTGAAGGCCTTGAATTCAATAGCATCTGATTTGATGGCTAAACCAGGACCGGCTGTGCCCGCTAAAATAAGGGAAAGCACAAGGTTTTACCCTTATTTCAAGGTATGTAATAATTATCGAATTATAATAATATTGTTATTATAATATGTATTTTTCATAATATGGTTATTGTGATATATGAATAATTTTAGGATTGCATCGGAGCTATTGATGGTACACATATTCCGGCAATGGTGAGGGGGCGAGATGTAAGCAGTTATCGTAATCGTCATGGAAAGATATCACAAAATGTATTAGCAGCTTGTAACTTTGATTTGGAATTCATGTACGTTCTTAGCGGGTGGGAGGGTTCAGCTCATGATTCAAAGCTACTAAATGATGCTTTATCAAGGAGGAATGGACTTAAAGTGGCCCAAGGTAAGTACTTAATTTTTAAATGATAAATATGTTTTTTTTGTATTTTAACTTTTCATACTAATTTTATATGTATTGTATATATAATTAGGTAAATATTTTCTAGTGGATTGTGGGTTTCCTAATCGGCGCCAATTTTTAGCTCCATTTCGAGGTGTGCGATATCATCTCCAAGATTTTGCAGGTCATGGTAATGACCCTCAAAATGAAAATGAATTGTTCAATCTTCGCCATGCGTCATTGAGGAATGTGATCGAGAGGATATTTGGCATTTTTAAATCTCGATTCACAATTTTTAAGTCAGCGCCTCCATTTCCATTTAAGACACAAGCAGAGCTTGTGTTAGCATGTGTAGCACTACATAACTTTCTTCGCAAAGAGTGTCGTTCTGATGAATTTCCAATTGAACCAACAGACGAATCTTCATCTTCAGTATTACCAGTTAATGAAGAAGATAATTTGGAACCTATTGTTCAAACCCAATTGCAGCAACGAGAAAATGCTAATGCATGGAGGGCTACCATAGCTTTAGATATGTGGAGAAATGCTACTTAGGAGGACATGAAGCTACATCAAATTGGCTATTAAAAGATTGGGAAAATTTTATTGGCTTTTACTTTAACTTGTCTTTCTTTGTTATCTTTTTCATTGACTCTTGTAACTTTGAATGTTTGCTTTTATTTATTGTTCCATTCCATTTGATCCCGTTTCTATTATCGCTGATGCAAGTGCCCACAACTTTAAGCAATTGACTTTCATTGGCTTTTTTATTTATGGCTCCATTCCATTGTTTGAACCAAGTGTCCGTAGCCTAGTAACCTTGCTCATCATCCGACTGTGTCAGGACTCACCAGTTTGATAAAGATGTCATTGTTTTCCTTCTTGTTTGAAAGTTTCTCTATTGTTTATATATGGTTTGTCTTGTACCATGCTGATAGGAATTGTTTATATATTGGTGTCGTCTTGAAGAAATTATTATTAAGTTTTGAATTGTATGGAGAGAGAGAACTGAAATCAAACCCAAAAAAGAAAACCTTCATGTTTGTATTGTATGGAGAGAGAGAGAACTGACTGGGTCTTGAAGCACGGGTTTTGCATTATTATTGTTGTTGGGTTTCATTAAGGAGATTTCCTTTTTCATTCAGCATTATTATTGTCTGTGGTAAATCAGTTTTCATTAACTAATAAATTTCTTACATATGTTGTAGTAGTAATTTAATGGGGGATTCACAACAAGGAAATAACAAAGGAAAGGGCAATTTGCTCTTCCGGGTTATTCTGAAATTTTATTTCTTGGGTATATAACTTGTGCTATGTAAATCCACTTAAGTATTGCTAGTATAGAATTGTCGTGGAAATGATCTCAGTGGGTGCTCGTTATGTGTTTGATTAAATGCCCAAAAGTAATGTGTGCTCTTGGACACCTTGAATATGCTCTCAGTGGGTTGTATTTCTGTGAGTAATGCAAGCTCGTGGTGTGTGGTACAGTTGGATTGGAGAGGGTCCTTTTTGAGGCCAATCCCATGCACAGATGGTGTTTTCATTTTAATTGTTTCTCAGAATACAAATTATAGCATGTTGTGGTTTGCAGACTTGTTTCTCAGAATGCGTGAGGATGAGCAGAAAATCCAATCTCATTAGTTAGCATCATACAAAAAAAAAAAAAATCCATGTGGTCCTTCCAAATCTTATAAATTCTTATGATATAAATCTTTAAAATCCAAACATAAAAAATCCGGAATATAAAAAATCTTTAAAAAAAGTCCTTTCAAGTCATTATGTTCCTAATTGTCTTTTAAAATCCACTGGACTTATTTATCCATAAATAGTCTTTTAAAATCTCAATTGAATACACCCCCCTAAATCTTTAACAACATGCAACACTCGCATGTTGTAAATAATTTTTTTATTCACAATTTTAACAATGCACAATTATATCACGTTGTAACAAAGAATGATTCACAACACGCATTAAACGCACGTTGTTAAACATGATGATTTACAACACACATTAAATGCACGTTGTTAACTTCATGTCGTTATATGACATTTTTCTTGCAGTGGGAGATGATAATTGTTCGAAATCAATGGCTTTAGTTTTGGGCTATGTTGTCCAATTCCTACCACAATGGCTTTGGTGCTTTCTTGTCCCATAATATCACTTACAATATTTCCCCGTTCTCATCATTCATAAGAAGAAGAAGGATGTTTCCAAGCAACCCTTGGTCAATTGGTGACATAATAATATACGTAACATACATTAAAGTAGAGGTTGCTTACTCCATCACATTTTGAGCCACACTATTACATTAATGAAAACTTTTCATGAGTTTATATTTACATTTTATGGAAGTTCAATCCTATAATATGTGAGTTTATGACATGTGTATTGGGTACAATCAATGATCTACATATCATTTAGATTAGTTTAAATTCAAATAATGTATTAAAAACTCTATTTTGTGACTTATTATTTAAGTGTAAAACACAAATAAATCATCATTTGATTTGATTCAATAAGACCAGTTAGCTAATGCACTGTGCTTGTCTTAGGATATTCAACTCATATTCGTACATCAAAATATTGCATTTAAGTCAACCATAGCTAAGTGGTAAGAACATTTGCTTATGGATGAGTGACCTCAGATTCGAACTCCAAAGACATTTCCCCTAACCCCTTCTAAACTTTGGCATTTTTTATATATAAAAAAACTCATGGATATTGATAGTACCGAAAAGGAAGTAGTTGGTGGTCTCGAAATCTCATGCTACAGCCCATGGGCTAAAGTGGGTAGCCTGAGGCCGAATGACATTGCATTTTTGGGCTTAAATTCCCTTTTTTTTTTTTTTTTTTGCAATTTTGATTACATAGCTCATTTGGTAAAACCCAAAATATATGCTTTCATTGAAGTCAATGACATAGAATTGGAGAAGCTGGGGGGAGTGCTACTTCTCGAAATAGCTTTCTCATAAATCAACGGTGCCATTTAATGATTTTTTTTCAAAAGCCAGATCATACCCTTATAAACTTTTCTTATTGGCAAAAGGGGCTTTAGAAGAATGAAGTGTGATAAGTTGGTCCAAGAGACCCAAGTGGCCCACATCACCCCCTATTACTATCCATAGTGACAAGGAGAGAGCCTTAGCCTTCTCATGTGCTTTTATAAAAGCACCTCTTTACCTCATTTCTCTTTAAGGTTTTGAGTTTTCAAAGAGTTAGGGAGGAAGTGAGAGAGAGCATCAAATCTCTCACATCCCAACAGGCTAAAAAATGGGTCCATCAAGGAGGTATTGCTAGCACCACATCGCCTTCTTGTGTATCATCATCCATTCCAAAGAAGAGCTTGGTGTGGAGTCTTTGGAGGTCACTATTTTGGGACTTGGAGAAGAAGAAGAAAATGGGTCTTACCACCATTCTTTGGTGGAATACTTGGGTTGGTCTCAAGTTACACTCTAAGGGTGAGTTCCTCTCCATCTTTCTCTTCTTACTTTCTTGCAAAGTAGTTAATGTAGGACATCAACCCTCTTGAGTTTTGAGATCCTTTTAAAGGTTTTGACTTTGGGCTCTAGTTTTGTATAAAGTCTTATGTTGCACAACTCGTAAAATTTTGTTGTCTACATGCCTTAATGAACCTAGCTATGTTTTTATGAAAAATCCAATCTTTCATTCAAGTGGTATCAATAACTAAATTTTCAAAGGATGATGCGCCTTATGGGTTTTGGAAAACAATATGGGTTTGATTTTTTAATATATGTGTTTATTTGATGCCTATGATTGTACGAATCTTTGTAAACCACATGTTATAAGAGTTATAAAGGCAATAGAGGCATGAAATGAAAAGGCACGAGCATGAACACCATAGAGGGGCTCGCGACATAGAGGGTCTTTTTTGTTTTTTTATGTGTGTTTGTTTCATCTTCCCATGAAAGTATGTTGTTTGATATAGTTGTCTTAGTTGATGCCATGAAAAACTGTGAAGACCCGAATTTTTAAAAGTATATATATTTGGG